CAAAAGAATGAAACTGGACCACTGTCTTACACCACATATAAAAATAAACTCAAAATAAATTAAAAACCTAAATGTAAGACCTGAAACCATAAAACTCCTAGACGAAAATATAGGCAGTAAGCTCTTTGACAATGGTCTTGGCAATATTTCTTTGGATCTGTTTCCTTAGGCAAGGACAACAAAAGCAAAAATGAACAAATGGGACTACATCAAACTAAAAAGCTTTTGCACAGGGGAAAAAACCATCAACAAAATGAAAAGGCAACCTACTGAATAGGAGAAGATATGTGCAAATGATATATCCGATAAGGGGTTAATATTCAAAATATGTAAAGAACTCATACAACTCAATATCAAAAAAACAAACAATCCAATTAAAAAATAGGCAGAGGATCTGAATAGACATTTTCCCAAAGACGACATACAGATGGATCAACAGACACATGAAAAGATGCTCAACATCACTAATCATCAGGGAAATGGAAATCAAAACCACAATGAGATATCACCTCACACCTGACAGAATAGCTAATATTCAAAAGGCAACAAATAACAAGTGTTGGTGAGGATGTGGAGAAAAGGGAACCATCGTACACTATTAAAGGGAGTATAAATTGGTGCAGCCATTATGGAAAACAGCAGAGAGATTCCTCAAAAAATTAAACATAGAATTAACATATGATCCAGCGATTCCACTTCTGGGTATTTATCTGAAGAAAATGAAAACACTAATTTGAAAAGATTTATGCACCCCTATGTTCACTGTAGCATCATTTACAACAGCCAAGATATGGAAGCAACCTAAGTGTACACCAATAGATGAATGGATAAAGAAGATATGGTATACATATACACAATGGAATATTACTCAGCCATAAAAAAGAGTGAAATCTTGCCATTTGCGACAAGATGGATGGACCTAGAGGGCATTATGCTAAATGAAATAACTCATAGAAATATAAATACCACTTGACTTCACTCATATGTGGAATCTAAAAAACAAAACAAATTCATAGATACAGAGAACAAACGGATGGTCACCAGAGGGGAGAGGGGTAGGCGGAGAGTCGAAATAGGTGAAGGGGATTAAGAAGTACAAACTTCCAGTTATAAAATAAATAAGTCATGGGGATGTAACGCACAGCATAGGGAATATAGTCAATAATGTTGTAATAACTCTGTATGGTAACAGATGGTTACTGGACTTACTGTGGTGACCATTTCATAATGTAGATAAATGTCAAATCGCTATGTTGTACCTCTGACACTAATATAATATTGTATGTCAACTATACTTCAATTAAAAGAATTCTGAGAATAACTTGCCTCACAATAAAAAATAATAATAATAATAAAAGACAACACAATTAAAATTGGACAAAGCATCTGAATAGACATTTCTCTAAAGAAAATGTAAAAATGGCTGAAAGATACACAGGACACTCAGCAACTAGAGTCATCAGGGAAAAGCAGATCAACACCACAATGAGATACCACTTCACACCCACTAGGATGTCTATAATCAGTCAGAAAATAACATGTGTTGGCAAGGATGTGGTTGGAATGTAAATTGTGAAGCCAATTTGGAAAACAGTCTGGCAGTTCTTCAATAAGTTAAACATAAACAGTTACTACTTGCAATTCCATTCCTAGATAGGTAGATAGATACACCCAAGAGAAATGAAAACAGATGTCCATGAAAAACTTGCACACAAATGTTCATAGCAGCATTATTCATAATAGTCAAAAGGAGGAAAGAACCCAAGTGTTCATCAAGGATTTCAAATTTATTAGCATAAATCTCTTCGCATACTGGTATTCTCTTAAAGTTAAAAAAAACATCTACTGTTGCTATAGCTTTATCTTCTTTTTGGCACACAATCTTAGCAATCCAGGGATAGAGGGAAACTCTGCCATCTGAGATGGGGAAAAACCAAGAGAAATTTACAGAAAATGTAACACTAAACGGAGAAGATATTAATGGCCTTGCAATTAAAATCAGGAACAATCACACACTGAAATGCTAGCCAATACAGTTAGATAAGAAAAAGGAAATATGCAAAAACCTGTTAGAAAAGAAAGAAGGGTTAAAGCTAATATTACTCATGACTGATATGAACATCCATCTAAAAAATCTAAGAGAATCAACTGAAAAACTGTTAGAACTAACATGAGAGGTCATTAAAGAGGCTGAATATATAATCACCGTATAATCAATAACTTTCCAATAACCAGCAACAACCAATTAAGAAGAGAATAAACATAAGAGCAACAATAACCAAAAAAACATAAAATATTCAGAACTAAAGCTAATAAAAAGTATATAAGACCTTAACGGGTAAACAGAAAAGTGCCAAAAGACAAAATAGATCTGAATAAATCTTAAGTATAAGAAGACTAATATTTTCAAGCCTACTACTTAATACTTCCTAAATTAACATGAAAAGTCTATACAATCCCAACAAAACCCCAATACAACTTTTCTTCAGACTTGATAAGCTCATCCTGCAATTCGCACAAATGAGTACAAGGCCAACAACAGCCAAGACAATTTTTTAAAGGTGGAAAGACTTGTTCTACAAGACAACGTGGCTTATTATAAAAATACAGTCACTAAAACAGTGAGTATTATCGAAGGAATACACAAATAGCAGATAAAAGGAACAGTACAGAATCCTGACACAGACTTATACACATATATAGATCTGGCATATAACAGAGGCAGCATTACAAAGACAGTGGGAAAGAACAGCCAATTCAATGACACGTAAAGGGATAATTGGCTAAGCAAATTAAAATAAAAGCAAAATCATAAGCAAAATGAATTCTAGTCAAAGACTTAACGTCAAAAACAAAAAAAGGGGGTAAGAACCCTAGGGTAAGCAAGAATTTTTTTCAGAAAACAAAAGGAAAACAGTGATATATGACCACATCAGTATTTAAAACCTCTTGTCCAAAAGTAAAAAGAACAAAAACCCTAACCACTGATAGAAGTATAAATTTTTACCCACCAGGAAGGTTTGACAGCCTAGTAGTCTAATAATTGAGTTTTAGTAAAACTAAAAAGTCACATTACTTATGCCCTAGGAATTTCACTTCTAGGAATCTCCTCAGGAACTTTTCTTCTAGGAAAAACACTTGCACAAGTATATATTTACACAGACTTCACACAAGTGATCACCAGAGTACTCTTTGTAGTAACACAATATTGGAAATAATCTACTTGTTCATCAACACGGTTAAATAAAAGGCTAGCACTTTACAGGATAAAATACCATACAATAGTTAAAAAGACTGTGCTAGACCCTTAAGCATCAACATAATTGTTTCACTGTTCACTGGATGGTCAGGCTATGTGGCCAAGGTTAAAAAGCACATAAAGTACAACCCATAGAAGAGACCAGAGCACGATTCTAAGTTGCTGAGAACAGACCACACACACACCAGGCTCAAGTGGTACAGCATTTACTTACAGCAAGAGAGGTGAGAAAGCGCACAAGATTCAACCCCTTGCCATCCATTGGTCCCCCATGATCAACCGATCCACTTCATAGCTGATGCGGTACAGGTGGTGTGGATACAAGCACCACACTTCATGCTGCAGTAGAAGGACATCGACCCCTCACCCGTGGGGTCTGAAATAGAGAGAGCAGAGGTGGGCCTGAGAGTCAACGACACATGCACTTAAGCAGAACAAAGGGGTATATACATTGAGCACTGAACAAGGAAAGATAGTCCCTCACATGGCAGTACGCCCAGCAAAGGCTCTGAGGGCTCTCAACTTTTTTGCAAGATGTTCCCAGGTTAAGGCCACTCACGCCGCTACCAAGAGAGGAGAAGCTGGGCTTGACTGCCCTTCCCAGCAATAACAAAAACATATGCTAAGTTAAATAGAACATCCTACATATAATTGTAAAAAACCCCTAAAATCATATATATGTATATATGTGTGTATGTGTGATGTACACATAATAAGTATGCAAAGGAATTAAATATGGCCTGGAAGGATTCACAAAAACTCTTAATGATTGTGGGGATGGGGAGGCTGGGAACAGTAGTTAAGAGAGACTTCAGTTTCTTGGTAGTGACTTGATTTTTTTAATGTGACATTTATGTACTAGGTCTCTCTCTTTTCCTTTTTTAAGAGTGAACATAAAAACAGATGAATGCAAATATGCCAAAATGTTAGAAGTGGTTATTCTTGTGTTGGAAATATGCCTGTCTGTTATTTTCCCATTTATATTTTTTTGTCTTTTCCCAATTTCCCAAAATAAAAAGTAAACTAAAAGGCAAGTTAGAAATTATAGTTATGAACTCATTTATGTCTTAAACAAAATAAAAATAAAGCACAGTTTGCATATGCACAAAAAAGTTCTGAAGCCTTGCCACCAAAGTGTTTTCAGCCCTCATCTCCTCTGGTAGGTGGGTTAGAGGGCTTCCACACTTACCTGTGTTCCTTGAATTGTTACACATTACTTTTACAATCAGCACAGTGATCAATAATTCTGCTAAATAAACAAAGCAACTGAGTATCAGCTCCCAGGAATGAAGAGGTCAGCACCAACCTGGAGGGGCTGCACATCCTTGAAGGGGACTGGGATGCAAACAGTGGCAGCAGTTCAAGCAACTGCAAATGGAAAGAGAAATACAGGTGACCTTAGTTCTGATGTAGCCACTGAGTCAGCAACCAAATCAGAGAAGCCTAGATAAACAAAGAGAACTAGCAAGGTACGACAGAAACCGGCAAGGCAGGCAGAGAATGAAAAGAGCAAAACGCTGCCAAAAAACAGAACATGCAAGGGAAAAAGACAGACAGTCAGAGGATGTTAAACAAAACACGTCCCTACAAAGAAGTGTGAGATGGACAAGCAGGTCCTGGCGCCTGTTGCAAAGCAGCCCATTACTCCACACACCAAATCACAGACGATGGTCGCCTTCCCCTGAAACCGGGGCACCCTCTGTCTCCCACCACTGTTAACCAAATTTGAAGGAATCACAACCTTCACCCAGAAGCCATCATCTCCTACGTTTGCTACAAACATCTGGACTCAGCAAGTGCTGCTGGGACTGACAAAAAAGAGATGACTGTAAACTGAGATGGGAAGAAGAAAGCACCAGCTTCCATCATCCAGCTAAAAGAAACTGCAGTCCTGCCCCAAGGGCATGAAGAGTCAAGTGAAGCACTACACTAGGGACCATGAGTCTGAGGAGGCTGCCCTAGTCCGGGCAGACAGAAGAAGCCTTGCTGTGAGAACAGGGGAACAGAGGAAGAAGAAGTATTCAGAGAAAGCAAAAGCAAAGGAGAATCAGAGAAGTGATAAAGTAAATCACTGAAGGCCTAAAAAAGAGACTTGAAGACACAACCACAAAAGAAGGCTGAAGAGGAAAGCATGCTTTAGGAGCCAGAGGGGCAGGCTCCAGCCTTGCTGAGCTCCAGCAGCACAAACAGGGAGAAGAAAACTGCTCAGGAGGAAGTTGAACGTCAGAGAGGGAGAGAGACTTCCACACACAAACTGGCACAACAGACTGGAGAAGAGAAAGAAAACTGAAGTGTGAAAAGAACTAGAATGCTGCTAAGGGTGAAGACAAATCTGGCAGTGAGCTTCAAGAGAATGAACTGGAGGCCACAGAGAAATATTCTGAAGAAATGCACACAGTCGGAAATATAAATGGCATCCACCTATCTCAGGAAATTGAGACCCACAGTGAAAGTAGCACCAAAAATGAGCCTCCAAGCTGGTCTGTTCTGAAGCAGCTGTGGCAGAAATGTCCAAAGAGGTCACTGAAGTATTTGTAAAGAGGTGGTGACAAGATTGACACAGAAAAATGAGGGTGACTGCCTGTGAATATGCCACAAGATTCCAGGCCTTCAATCAAAGAAAGGGTGAGCCCGGCCTCTGCAACCATGAACATGGATAAGGCTGAAGACCTCCTGGGCCTTTCAAGCTCTGAATGAAAGACCCAGAGCAAAGGAAAGAGATGGGGGCCCGTCAGCTGAAACTGCCCAATTAAATTCAGGTCTCCTAATGCCTCAGGTTCCTCCAGAGTCCCAGCTAGCTTTTGAGGACTGAAAAAAAGGTTCATTCATCAACTTGTTAAGATGATACCACAGATGTGAGCCCCCAGGCCTGGGGAGCAACCTGAGCTGGATCAGGCCTCTTCTCCAGACCCTCCTTCATGCCTCAACCCAGTTCATTCCCACAATGAAAATGGCTTTGAAAAGAACAGGGAAAATCCCAAGCGATCATCTGGGCATTTTTCAGGGACATTTTCTTCTTTCTGTCATTTTCCTCCTTCATTTCACATGCAATGTAATTTTATTTGTTTTCCTTTTTAAATCCTCATTAAGTAGTCTCTTATTCTCATGGTCTCCCTACCAGTGTCAGGGGACATAAGTTTTACTCCATACACCGATAATAAGCAAACAAGTTTCCAACACAATTGCTACTGAAGGAAGATTGCTTCCAGTACGTTTTAAAAACGTTAACATAATACTTATACCAATAGTTCAACTAAGAAATAAGCTCAAATCTAGTACCCAAAACTTGCTTTCTAAATACCATTCTCAATTAAAAGGCTCCTTGGAGAAGTGGTTGATTCCAGGCCTGAAGGAGGGAAAATACAAGACGACTATTTCGTGGTGCCTAAAACTCAGGGAAAGACACAAAAAAGGACGGGGCCATGTCAAGGGGAAACAGGAGCCAAGCTGAAAGAGCTCCCGATGGCCAAAGCTACAATAATTGAAACAACAAAATAAATAACAATAGCACTGCATTATAGCCCAAAGAATAAACACCCAACATCACAGTCTGATATCACTAATTGAATAAATAAACAAAAGGGGGAGAAGGCCTCCCTGTCTGCCTCACAACTCTGCCTCACAAAGAATTCCAGTTCATAAATGTAGAAAGAATGACAGGAATGAAAGGCACCATTAGAACCTCAAAGTAATAATTGCTGCAGGCAAGATCCACCAAGGAATGCCAATTAGTGGGTGAAAGTTAAGGAGAAACAGGATATTTCTATGCAAAGTCTCCAAGTACCTTGCCCTAAATAACTACTAATTACAAAGGGAAAGACAGTAACTTGACAGTGGTGACACCTGGCAGACACCACTGGATCAAGATTACCATCACCAGTAATAAGACATATCTCTATCATCCTCAATCCAAGCAGACAAAACCAAACTGAGGTCACTCTAAAAATACAAATACAAAATACTTCAAAAGTGTCAAGGTCACGTAAAACAAGGAACGACTGAAGAACTGTCACAGACTGAAGAAGAATAAGGAGACATGACAACTAAATGGAATGAGGGATCTAGACTGGATCCTGGAACAGAAAAAGAACATTAGCAAGATACTGATGAAGTCTGGATAAAGTGAGCAGTTTAACTAATAGTATTATGTACCACCGTACATTTCTTAACTTTGACGCCTATACTATGGTTATGCAAGATGTTAACTTCAGGCAAACTGGGTACAGAGTATAAGGGAACTCTGTACAGATCTGCAACCCTCTGTAGGTCTAGAATTATTCAAAATAAAAAGTTTTGGGGCTGGCCCTGTGGCATAGCGGTTAAGTGCGTGTGCTCCACTGCTGGCGGCCCGGGTTCGGATCCCGGGTGCGCACCGACACACCGCTTGTGAGACCATGCTGTGGCGGCGTCCCATATAAAATGGAGGAAGATCGGCATGGATGTTAGCTCAGGGCCAGTCTTCCTCAGCAAAAAGAGGAGGATTGGCATGGACGTTAGCTCAGGGCTGATCTTCCTCACAAAAAAAAAAAAAAAGTTTTTTAAATCGAAAAAGTTTGAGTTGTTACCATTTTTTTCTGATTTATTTCTATCTAGATATTAAGGATTAACTTGGCCATCGGGGATATTAAATACCGTCAACTCTCATCTCCAATCTGGATTCATTCTTTCACTGATTTAACAAATATTTATTGAGCACCTACTATGTCCTAGGCACTAAGGTCTCAGAGGTGAATAAAGCAGACAAAAAGCATTGCCTTGAGGAGCTTATGGGAAGGCAGACAATGAAATAAATAAAACATATGGTATGTTAGACAGCAACAGGTGCCATGTAGTATAATAAAACAAGGAGGAGGGTGAGAGATCAGGGAAGGAAAAGTATAAACTCAAAAAAGCAATCTTATAGAGCACATAAGGGTTCACCTGAGGGAGCTCTTTCAGATTGTTTCTGATATAAAAATACTGAAGATTGCAAAATAATGTTATGTTTTATTATATTTTATGTATTTTTTCCTAAAGCAACTCTCTGACATCATAGAATGCTTATGCACTAATACTTCTTGGATACCAGGAGCCACAGAAAACTAAATGGTGGCATAGTTACTCTTTTTCATGCTTTGTGAGTTTCCCTTATAAGTACATAGAGGTTTATCTTCAAAACATTCCCATCATTTCAGCTACAGTAAGAACTTTTTCAACCAACATTTGTCTGCCTTTCTTCAGCATTAACTGGTAAGAGCAGCCTCATTCGTCTGTCCTTGAATATGCACACAGATATACACATGTACATAACCGATGGAAGTCCCTGAAATCTTGAATCAAAATATGGCTAAAAACACTCGTTGACATTTCCTTGCGAAGTAACTGACCTAGTATTAGTGAGTTTTTAGTTCTGAACTGCAGTTTGAAACAGGAGGGTGTTCTTTCCTGGCCACTACTTTTAACTTAGGAAGGAGAACATTCTCTGATTTCTTAGGCCAATGTAAGTAAGAGGACAGTACAGTGGTTTTAGGTTAGAGCTGTACCTTCTATTTAAGCACTGCATTTTACGTACTACTCTCTCATCTTGAAAATAAACACCCTAACAAACAGGATTTTGCTTTTTTGGTACAAACATCACTTGTTGAGCATTTACAGCTTCATGTAACACGTACTATGGGAAATAAATTGCAAACAAAATGTTTTCTTTTAATTATACTTGCAAAAATATGTCTTGGTGGTGTCATAAGGCTGGCACCAATTTTCACCAATATATGAACAAATGCATTTCTCGAAAGCTGAAGATATAACTTTCAAAAAACAATAGTATGAACGTACTTAATGTCACTAAACATTTTAAAATGGTTAAAATGATAAATTTTTATGTATCATATGGTAAATGTTATGTGTATTTTATCACAATACTAAAAAGTTTTTTAAAAGCGATAGTATACAAATATAGAATTATGTTGTACACCTGAAACTAATATGTCAATTATACCTCAATTTAAAAAACTAAAAAATATATAGATCACATATTTAAAAAGGCAATAATACGATCCCATTTCATAATTATATATGTGTGTGTATATATATATATACATGTATACGAGTTTGCATACTTATACATAAATTTGAAATAGGAAGCCTCCAGAAGAAAACATTCGCGGATTGCGGTTACTTTTACTTTTCTTACTCTCACCCACCTCATCTAACTGTCTGTAATGAGTACGCTTTGTTTGCATAATTGGGAGCAGTGATAAAGCACAGGAATCCCTCCCTCCGCCCCCCTCAGGCGCCCCGGGCGCCGAAGCATTTCCAGCTAAGCCCTCACCACGGCGGGGACGGGATTCCCGGCCCGACCACCCGCCCCGGGGGCGGCCCCCAGGCCCGGCCTCACCGCCGCCCTCCGGGCACAGCCGAGCGCCCTGCCGCCCCCCGGGAACGCCGCGGGAGCACAGCAGCCGCCGCCGCACCCCGCGCCCCGCCAGGACGCTCACCAACTCCAGCGACCGCCCGAGACTCTATCGTCTGCCGCCCCGCCAGCCACGCGCCCGACTCCCCGCTGGCCCCTCGCGCACGCGCGGCACCGCCCCGGGCCTCGGCGGCCTCTCTAGGAAACTGGGAGGGCCAACGTCTCGGCTTCTCCCCGGCCCAGGGCCTCGCTAGCTGAGGGGCTCGTCCCCAACCCCGCCGCCTCCCCCACTGGACGTCTGCCCTCCACTCTTCGATGCCTTTTCGAGCCCCGGAGCTCTATCAGTCTTGGCCTGTTTTCCCACATCCCTCCCGGTGTGTGCAGGGCTGCCCTCCAGGCCGCCATCCCTCCAGGGAAGAATAGGATCCAAAGCTAGGGGTCAGAATAGGGACCAGCAAGATCTAGCTGACAGT